GATTTTGGAAGGAGGGTAGATCGGGGGTGATATATATCTAGCGATTTGTAAGTAGGGATGTGGGTGCCCTCTCTAGGTCAATGTGCCGCCCGACTAACTGTCTCTAATCTAACTTCGTCCTTTTTTTATTCACCGGATAAATTTCGGTATGACCGTGGAAAAAAAAAAAGGGCTTTCACAACTTTCCCCGCCGATAAACTAGCTCATATCTAGAGAATGAATTCATCTTGAAAATTTTAGTATATACGAATATATTTTTTTATTATAAAATCGTAGTGAAAATGTAGTAAATATTAATTTACTTGCTTGTTTTTTGTTTTGTTTTGAAAACAGACTCGTATTTTCTGGAAGGCTGGATTCGGTGACATTTAAGCCGTAGGCTCGACCTATAAATATTTTCTTGCTAGACTCTGTATATGAGAGCTAGTACAAACTACAAGCAGTGAGCCTCTTAACCGCAGTAATAAATCCTCGGTCATCCTTTATGAAAGTCCACCCTGCCATAGCTACGGCTCATATAACAAAAATTTATTCTAGAAAAGAACCAACTTTTGTCAAACGTACTTCAAAAGTTCGCATAAATCAGTCTTTTTTTAAATTTTCTTTCAACGTAGATTAAAAACAGACCACCAGTGTGTTATGAAAACTGCAATCAAACTTTTCCATCTATTACACTAATTTTTCTAAAACCATGAACGAAATCACGCATTTTAATTTATATTTCTCAGGTCATAATAGTTCAAAAAATATTAAAATCGTGTCCACGCTTTCTGGCCAAAGAGATTTAGGAACAAAGAAAAATATACTTAGGTAAAAACCTTACTACTAAAATCCTGAATTAATTGAAAAATATTAATTGGTCAAGCGGACCAGGAAAACTAGAGAATTGAATAAATTTAAATGAAGTATATTATCACTAAAGCTCGCCGTTGCCATTTCATTTGTCGCCGAGAATCAAATAGATTTCGCGATATTTCAAAAATGGCAAAAAGGAGTGGAAATTCAAAAGGTGGGGTTGAGATGGGAAGTCCGAGTGGATCGAAGTCACGATAGCTCAAGTGGTACAGCAGCGGTGTATTTAGCCGAAGGTCGTGGGTTCGAATCCTGCTCGTGACAATGACTTTTTTATCTCAACCCCACCTTATGAGTTTGATGTCCGAGTGGATCGAGGTCACGATAGCTCAAGTGGTAGAGCAGCGGCGTATCTAGCCGAAGATCGTGGGTTCGAATCCCGCTCGTGCCATTAACTTTTTTTCATCTCAACTAAAAACCTCAATTAATTGTAATGTATTAATTGGTCAAGCGGACCACGAAATTAGTAAATCTTAAACTAATATTAAGATCGAAATAACTTCCTTAAAATATAATTAAAATGATAAAACATCTATAATAAATTAAAATTATTATGAAAAAATGCGTAAGAAAAAATAATAAAAATGCCCAGTTAATCAGATTCTAAATTTTAAAAAATGTTTCAACAAAACTGTCCATTTAAAAAACAATTCTTCCATCTTGGCCTGTGGGCAAATTAGATTATGAATAAACTTAAATTATACGTATATATCCATTTATGTGTAGTGATCTAATTGACCAAATTATTTATTTCAATTAATTATTCTTTTTATGTAAGGACTTGGTTGGGACGAAAAGGTAGGAAAACGAGAGGGATTCAAACCCAGCCGATAGTCGTGAGTTCGAATTCCGCTCGTGACACTAGGTTTTTCATCTCAACCAAGACCTTAAATAAAAAGGATAATTGATTGAATTAAATTACGGATGCAAGCTGAGCATTTTTTTAAAACCCAATAGGGATATTAATAGATTAGAAATTTAATACAATGTAAAATAAACGTTTAATTTTTTTTAAATGAATATTTTTCTTTGTCTTTGTCCTTTTATAAACATTATAGAAGCTGATGATGGATGTAAATGCCCAAAACATCCTAATAAATGAAAATAATGCATTTACTTTTTTTTAGTTAAAAAACCATAAGAATACAGGGAATTTTTTTCTGACATTAACCGACAGTAAGAAATCATATCCCAATGTAAATACAGTTCCATAAAATAATTCATCCTTTACATTATATTTACATATTAAATTTACTTGTTGGGTTCAAAGAGGAAAAATTTAAGTAGGTGCCATACGGTCGTATTTGTCCACTAATTTTGAACTATTATTTTTAATTCCACCTTTTTTGTACAAGTAAAGGTAGCAGTGAAATCTCGTGTTACGTGAAGTCAGATAGAACTGTAGTTATTACATAATTATATTATATATGTTGTGTATGCACAGGAAATGTGAAGATATCGGTGTTTTTGAAAAGGCTATCTACAAAAGTGTCCTGATAATTTTTTCTTTTAATTTTTTCTAATTTTTAGACAATTATGAGCCGTTTTCGAATTTCAATTAATAAAATTGTAAGTGTTATTATATATATTTGTTTAATCGTTGTAGCGTAATTCGCAACTTTTTCTTCGTGAGAGGGTTTTTGAATGAGAATTTTTCCCCGGCCGGCGGCCAGTTTTCTCAATTTCTTAACGAAGACGATGAGGACGAGAAGCCGAAACGAATAAATCAAGACGCAGGTCATGCGAGGCGAGTTTGGGCGAACAGTCGAAGAAGACCCTATACAACCGAACTTAAGTTCTAACCCTCCACACCTCGATGAATGTTTATATATTAGTTGGAACAAAGTTGTTTACAACAAGGTTAGAACTTGGAATTGGCAGAGAGCCGGCAAAGTTCCACCGTTCTCAACTTGTTCCCGTAGACAATGGTCGTGAATGATTTCCGGGGGAATAAAAAACAACAAGAGGATAAAGACGTGTCGTTGACGTCACACCGGGACTGATAAGGATGACGAGGGTGGTTATATATGCTAGTCCTATTTTAGATAAGCTCTTTCGTGATATAGGTGGATCATTATCCGTCGATGTCAAAAAATTTCACAAGAAATTATTTTACGATCGAACTGGCCAATTTGGTATTCATGAAAATTCACTTCTTGGAGATTAAGTTTAGATGTTAACCCTCTCATCAACCCCTTTGAACATTTTATTTGCTCTGCACACAAGTGTTTACTCGCATCAACAACCGCGTCCGATCTAAACACAGTTTTGGTAATTTTATTCATACCTAAGGTATTTGACTTTTTAACTAAAACTATACCGTAAAAATTCAATGTATTTTCTATTTTCTTAATTCAAATACAGGTAGAATACTACGAGTAGATTGGCCAAATAATTGCTATAATGGAGGAAACGGTACTAAAACCAACTTAGTTTATAAAAGATATGAACGTATGGATACAGTCATGTACATTGAAAAGTCTTGAAAAAGCCGGACAAGGGATGATAGGGTAGTTAAACAGTTTCTGGTCATTTTGATCTCCCCATCCGGTTCATTTTCTCGCCATCTGCACTTTTAATAATTAGAAAAAATAATAAACATACTGAAGATTAAAACAAGCCAAAATACGCTTGACAGAAGCGATCATAAAGGACCGAACCGCAGGTTCAGCACCACAATCATGATTTATACGACATCACAATTTATGCGTTAAAGCTCAAACGTCAGAAAAGATTGGAGTGAACAAAGCCACAATAATGAACATACATTTCTTTTTAATTTACATTGAAAATATTTAAAAAAATTTCTATTTACGAAAATAATTCTTTTTCATCGACAGAACTTTTCGATTAGCGAGACTCCGCTCTATTATGTTATAAACATTAATTAATATTGAACAATTCCCATCATAAAATCTTGAGATCATAAAATCTTAGTTACTCGCAGATATATAATTTGAATTTTTAATATAACTAAAATTCACTATAATAGTAATATAATTTATTTAGAAATCGTGAGATGCGGTCTGGGTGATGTAGGTTTCAGAAAAACATTTTCTTTCGTGCCAACGTTTCGATTTTTATTGAGATCATCTTCAGGGCATGGGATTTACAAAAATTGTTTACATATTACAATTACATTTTGGATGTGGAAAAGAGAATTTATACAATGCAAAAAAATATATTTTTAAATTATATTCAATCAAAGTATTTCTTAAAGTTGCCTTATTTTATAAGTGCTCCAAGGACAAACTCACTTTTGCATTTTTTATAACTTTTCTTAGTGAAATCTGCTTTGCAAGGTTGAAAAAGTGACATCGAACCCCAGGAGGGCAGCAACCAAAGAACATCGTGCGTGTCATTTTTTAATAAAAACGTGTATTAGTTGGTAGCAAAAATTTATTATTTTTCTCATAAAGTGTCCATAATTAAAGAAAAACTCCCTGGAATACTTATAAAATAAGGCAATTTTGGTGAAATCTCCGAAAAGTTTGATGGAAAAGTCACAGGCCACAAGTTGAGTATTTCCACAAAAAACGCGTTTGCCATTTGTTATTTTTTGAGCAGCTACTGTGCACTCCGAGGGGTGAATTTCTCAAAAGAAATGTTTTTATCTTGTGGAAAATTTAATTTGGTCAGATTGTATTTTAATGAAGTTGCGATTATGATTTTCTGAGAAAAAAAATTGATTTTAGATTAAAATCACCAAAATGTGATGATTCTCAGGAAAGAATCAAGGTATAAACTTCATTTTGGTTGCACTGAACTATGTTCTACTTAGCAAAACCAACCATGGCACTATTGACATTTAGCCCTGTAACACCCTGTATATCAATCTAATTTAAAAGAACATAAAAAACTAATGCATGTTTCAAGCTGTCCTTAAAAAATATACGTATAATGGGAGTTTATGGTCCAACAAACAGCTTAGGTCATCGCCGGCCCTCTGTGTGTTTTTCCTTCTTTTCAGAGTCTCTCACACATTTTTTTAGAATTTTTTTAACTGTTATCATTTGATCGTCTTGATCTGATTACTGACTCTGCCTTTATATGAAAACTAAGTCGATATGCTAAAATGCGAGCTTCTCATTTGTACCTAAGGCCAACTATAGAATAGAGATATACAATATATGCATCTCCACCGGATACAAATAGGGTTAAAAGCTGTCTCTATGGAAACATATTAAAAATTGACCAATTTTGAAATGCTTAATTTTTGATATATATTTCCATAGAGACAGTTTTAAAATAGAAGGTGACTTAAACAACTTCTTTTTGTTTTTAAAACTAAACCAATATTTATATTAATTTACCACTATGTGGAACAAAGTCTTTAATATAACAATAAGGGTGGCTGGTGCCTCCCTGTGTATCTACACGGCATATAAAGCACTGAAATATTTCAAGTATTCGACTGTGGATCGTCCCGAGTTCCATGAACGTCAAGAATTGGAAAGGAAACGGGACAAAAGAAGATATATTCCAGGTAAAGGATTAACCAGTGAATTCTTTTTATGCACCATATCTCCTGATGAAAGCGAAGATGAAGGAGGGCGCCCCTCAACCAGTGCCCAGCCTGAAAGACGGTGCCCGATAGGTTTTCCCGAGCATGATATCCTCGAAGGGATTTATACTCGCCCTAATAGAGCTAAAAATTTGCATCCAAAGAAAGAACCTCTTCCTGCTGTCACTGAAAAGAAAGAGAATGCACCCGAGAAAAATCCAAAGTAAGTGAGCTTTTTTTTAACTTTTTATATTATAATGTTTTTTCCAAACGTTTGTAAGTACAACTTTTTTATTGTTAGGCCTGAAGATGAGCAGCAGCCAGGGGGATCTGGGTCAACATGAATCCATTTTCCAAAATGCACGGGCAGTAAGTAAAGGCAGATCGGGCTTTAGTTTTTATGTGAATGTATACGTGAATGATTGAATACATATTGAATGAGGAGGGACACTGTGCTTTCACGTATTAAACGACACGAATCTTCTAGACTACCCCTAAACCAAATTATGCCCAAATGAAAACAAAACCCTTTCAAAATAGCTCGGGGACCACTGCCTATAATGAACTATATGTACTTCGTATTGATAATATTTGTGCCTCTACTCTAAGCAAGTCTAATAAACATGATACTCATATTTAATGTGCATGACCAGAAGCGCAAAGGTCATCATGATTAAAACTACAGAGCGTTACATAGCAATGATTCATCTTGACATGTAAAGTAAGGCCAAATAATTCAATTTACTCATACATTCTGTATACAAATGACATTCTTTATACAACGACGATACAATACATTTCTGGTACTATTTCTGGATTGGAAAATGACCTTGAACACACAGATATAATAAGAAGATTAAAAGTAATATTAAATTCAAGGTAGAGTTAAGGAGATGAACATTTTGGTGCAAATCAATGTTCCTAAATCTTCAAAATCTAGGCCCAACAATTCAAGACCCTGTGAAAAAATATGCTTGATTAGATACATAATTGAACCAAAAATAAGCAAAAGGTGAAGTGGCTCTAGTAACTGAAAAACTGCCAGAATACATACTATCTACCAACTACTGCAGAAAATGGTTGAATGATACAATGAATATGAAAACTATCCCGGCCTCTTTGTGATTGTAGAAAATACTTTTCACTGTGACATGGTAAAAGTAATTTAATCATTTTTAATAAAAAGGTATAAAAGTGGTATAATATTTTTTCAGAATGAAAAAAAAACGCCAAAACACTGAGCAGTTAAAACTCAATATAATGTGATCGACTATAAACCACTCCTTTTGTCACTGGTCAATGGGATAGATCTGTAAACTCTCAAGCACCTCCTTCAATCCTGATTTACAATCTAATATAACAATTTTCATTAAATACTTAAATAATTCTACTTCTAAATGTAACAGCAAAGCCAACAGGTACATAGTTTAAAAAAAAATTTTTAAATATAATTTTTAGTTTTATTGTTACATTAAATGTTTTGGATGTTTCGGGAATTTGCACTTATCATCAGGATCTTATTATTTTTTTATTTCAACTTTTTATTATATACAGAGTGACGTTTTACAACATAAAAAATTTAGAGAAATAATAAAGGTAGGGTGAGTATGTTGTTTAATCTTTTTAAAAGATAGTGTTTTCCCAACTTAAGAGACAAAAAAAAGAGACATGCTTGTAACTCCTTCAATCGGATGTTGAGCTTGAAGCTTGAAATCCAGAAGTTGAAAAGAACCCACCATCAATAAGAATTATTTTTTTAAAAGTTTAAAAATTTATTGATCAATAGTCATTAGAAAATTCGTTTTCAGTATTTGTTAATAATAATGACTCAAAATTCTATTCAACCCAAGCAAATAGAAAAAACAATGAAATGAACTTAAATTTTTTGAATTAGTTAAAATACCCTCCAACACTTTCAATACACTTCTCCCAACGCGATGGCAACTTTTCTATATCCTCTGAATAGAATTTTGAGTCTTAACCCATTTTCTAACGAGTTTTAATAATATTAATAAATCTTTATTTGCAACAATGTACAGTACATATAAATTTACAACAAATAATATTTTAGGATATCCCTGGCTGCTGTCAAAAAGCAAAGCTTATACTAGACAACAGGAGTTTTTTGGAGATCCTCAGAGAAATAAACAGAAAACCATAATAAAAAACAAACAAATAAACAAACAGAATAAATGTGTAGTATGAGAAAACCAACGAAATTAAATCTTGGCGTTAAAATGTCTGAACAATAATTTAAAATGTTTGAAATGATAAAATTTTTTCTTTCTTTGCAGTTTTTGAATTTTTGAATAATGATCCTCTCTTTATTAAAAAAACGAAGTGCCATATTTAATGAAAAATTGTAATATTGCATAGCTTTTACATTGTAAAAATGTGAGTTTGCCTATGAATTGTGTCTTGTGTTATATTCACTGATGTAATTAGTTTTTTGTGTTTAAACGTAGAAAGTTTGAGTTTAGCTAAAAAAATTTATACCATTATTATCATTACTTAAATTAATGAAATTATCACCTAAGAAAACAATATAAGCATCATCTGCATAACTAAATATTTTTCCGAAGATTTTAATTTTCTAAAAATCATTAATGCATAAAAGAAACAAAATTGGACCTAAGACTGTACCTTACAGTACTTTGAATGTTTTGATCAATAAACTTTTTAACCTTTTTAAATGATAGTTCTTACTGACAGTTTACTGTTTTCAACTTCTGGATTTAAAGCTTAAAGCTCAAAATCAGGTGTTACAAGCACGCCTCTTAAGGTTCAAATTCAGATGGTTGAAAACAAAAAACTATGAGTAAGAGCTATATTTTAAAAAGATTAAACAACATACTCATCCCGCTTTCATCATTTCTATTAAAAAAATTTTTTATGTTCAATCAAAGTATTTCTACTCACTGAAAGTGTTTGTCTTCTGTGTAATTGTGCTATTCACAATTAATGATTAATGGTAATTTGTTTATACTGCATCATATACACGATGGAGTAATGTGTTTTTTTAAAACTTTTTTAACTTAAATTTAGTTGGAGAGTTGATGTCCGAGAGGATCCAAGTCAAGATAGCTCATGTGGTAGAGCAGCGGCGTATTTAACCGAAGGTCGTGGGTTCGAATCCCGCTTGTCACTCTGACTTTTTTATCTCAGCCAAGACCGTACATAGAAAGAATAATTAATTGAAAGAAGTAACTTGGTCCATTGACTACTAAAACGTAAATGGTTGTTTTTAACTCTTTAAAATAGTATTATAATAAAAATATACCTACTTTGCCTAAAGTTAAAACCATGATTTATTATAATTTTTCATGAAATGACGACTTTGGATTTTTGTGTATAATCATAAAATAACAATTAATTATAACAGTACCAACTTTCTGAAATTTAAAAAATTTATTTATAAAAAGATTTTTTCTGTTCGTTAATTTTTTTTTATGTGATTCTATTTTTTAGTCCAATACCAATTATTTTGGTATAATATTTTGAATAATTTTTTGTGGTACAATGGTATCAATCACAATTTATTCGCCAGATTAAATAAAAGAATTTATTTATGTGTGGTGATTATTCTACACCGACTTCCTTCCCCACCACTTCAAAATCCGAAGTATATAAACATAAAACAGCAAAAACTCACTGACACTCTCAACACGACACGCAAGAATGGCACAATTACACAGAAGGCAAACACTTTGAGTGAGGAGAAATACTTTGATTGAATATAAAAAAATATATTTTGCATTGTATAAATTCACATTTTTCCACATCCTACATGTATTTGTTAAACAATGTTTGTAAATCCCAGGCCCTGAAGATGATCTCAATAAAGGTCGAAACGTTGGCACGATAAAGAAAATGTTTTTCTGTAACCTATATCACACCAAACCGCATCTCACGATTTCTAAATAAATATTGATTAACGGTCACTAATCACGACACATAGTAATATAATATTTTTCATAATTGTGCGGGTATTTTGAGCATGCACAAACTTATAACGATTTATTTTAAAAAAATGTATTTTTAATTTTCGTATTAATCATTACTGATTGCTAAAACCTGAGATATTTTTTAATGGTTCCTCTTTCCTACTTAAACATAACCTATTTGTACCATTACAAGTGAGATAATTATACCATTTATAACATTGTATTTAATTAAACGGAAAATTATAACCAGAAAAATCGTTAACATTGTTAATTTTGAGTTTATGTGTTTTGAAGGTTGATTACTCTTTTCCGCTTTTCCTTTCTCAGTCTCACTCAGTCACACTCACCCCAAACTCTCTCCCTCTCTCTCCCCTCTCTTTCTTTCTCCTCACTCTTTTCTTTGTGATAAAAAAGCTCGTTAAATGTCAGAACGAAATTAGAAACATAATTTTACGGGCTTTTATAAATAAAATGTTCAATTCAGTTCAAGTCAATCATTACTGTCTTATTCTTTTTTCCAATTTAAACTTTTATTTCTTCTCTATTTTCCTCTTTATCACATTTCTTATTTCCCATCTCTGTATCGATTTTTTCCTTTCGCCCCTTTCTTTTTCCTCTTTTTTATTCCTCTACCCCCCCTTTTTTATTCCTCTACCTCTCTAAATATATTCTTTTATTACCCCTTTTATCTATTGGTCTTTTTTGTCGTTTTTTTCTACTCTTTAAGCTGACTAAACTTTATATTTTATCTTCTTTCTCACTTATTTTTCTACCATCCCTCTTTTTCTATCCTTTTTTTATGGTTTTATTTTCCTTTTTTTAATTTCTTTTCTCGTATAATTTTACAACATCTCTCTCTCTCTTTCTCTTTCTCCTTGTGCTGCTCTCTTTCTTTTCTTCCTTTTTCCCTTTCAACCACTCTCTCTCTCTCTTTCTCTCTCTCTATCTATCTATCTTTCTCATCCTTTCTCACTCAGTATTTTCTTCCTGAGAAAAAATCTGTTTAAATGTCAGAAAGAAATTTGAAAATAATTTTGCAGTCTTTTATATACAAAATGTTCAGATGAAGTCAATCACACCAGTTTGATTCATTTTTCCAATTTAATCTTTTTTTCCATATTAGTTTATTTCTTCTCTCTTTTCCTCTTTATCACTTTTCTTTCTTTCCCATATTTGTATCTATTTTCTCCTTTCGCCCCTTTCTATTTCTTCTCTTTCATTCCTCTACCTTTCTCTCTACATATATTCTTTTGCTTACCCCTATCTTTTGGTCTTTTTTGTCGTTTTTTTTTTCTCTTTAAGCTCACTAAACCTTATATTTTATCTCTTTTCTCACCCCCTTTTCTCCCACCCCTCTTTTTCTTTCCTTCTGGTTCTACTTTCCTTTTTTTAATTCCTTTTCTCGTATAATTTTATAACCTCTCTCTCTATCTCACTTTCCCCCCTCTCTATCAATCTATTTATCTCTCTCATCCTTTCTCACTCACTATGTTTCTCGTGATAAAAAACCTCGTTAAATGTCAAAAAAGGAATTTGAAAATAATTTTGCAGTCTTTTATAAATAAAATGTTCAATTCAGTTCAGGTCAATCATTTCTTTCTTGATGTATTTTGCTCTCATTCCTCTCTTTCTATCTGATTTTTTTTGCAATTTATTCTTGTTTCTCTCATATTAGTTTTTATGTCCTCTCTTTCCCTCTTTTCACTTTCCTTTCTTTCCCATCTCTGTATCTATTTTCTCCTTCTATGTCTTTCTTTTTCTTCCCTTTCCCTCCTTTATGTTTATCCCTATCCATCCTCTATCTATATATCCTTCAAAATCCGACATATATAAACATAAAACAGCAATATATCCTGGCACTCTCAACGCGACACGCAAGAATGGCACAATTACACAGAAGACAAACATTTTGAGTGAGTAGAAATACTTTGATTGAATATAAAAAATATATTTTCCAGTGTATAAATTCACTTTTTACCACATCCTACATGTTTTTGTTAAATTTAAACAATGTTTGTAAATCCCAGGCCATGAAGATGTTCTCAATAAAGATCGAAACGTTGGTGCGATAAAGAAAATATTTTTCTGAAACCTACATCACCCAGACTGCATCTCACTATTTAGGAATAATTTATCTCTATCTATGGGCTCTTTTTTGCTCTAATTTTTTGGGCTTTTTTCTTTTTCTTTAAACGCTTTATGCTCACTAA